ATCCCATTTTGTACAAGATCTGCCTCCTGTGTTATGGGGTTTTTCATTGCAAACTAATAATGGAATGTGCAGTTGGAGGCAACATGTGGACTGCTTGGTTTCATGCTTGCACTATGCAGCTTTCAAACTCCTGTCTACATCTCAGCACCCCCTTACAACTATAGTTTTCTTGCTGAAGCCACAAATGTCCAGAGGTGGACTGAAGAGGCATACAAAATACATAATTTGTATTATAGTTTGCACAATTTGGTGCTGCCCCTCTATCCCCGCAGTCTAAAGGTGCCCATACACCTTACAATTATTGTACGATTTTTTTCGTCCCGTCATTTGATTTCAACATGACTGCCTCATCATGCACAGACCAATGTGGATTTCAATTAGCGTTTATTAGCAATACTAACTGACAGAATTTCGACGATCGACAGAACAGATTTTTGTTTGCGCATGTGCAGTGTCCATATTGCAATTTTTTTTGTATGAAAACACCACTAATCCAAAAGTTTTCTAGCCTGAACGATTGAGGAAATTCGGCCAGGAGTACAGTAATTCTGATCTTTTACTTCCCATCAACTGGCAGATTAGCATACGAAAACCTGATTTCATTCGGAAATCAAACAATAATCGCAAGGTGTATGGGCACCTTTAGACTCTGGCCAACAAGTACCATTATGGAACATAAAGCTTGAGCCTGGTCTTCTTTGAAATAAAACAGCATTTTTATTGTGAAATATACATTTAAATTTGTCTGTTAAGTCTCTAAATATACAGGTGAAACTCGAATAATTAGAATATCGTGCAAAAGTAATTGCAGTAGTTGCTGCAAAAGGGGCCCAAACCAAGTACTGAGTACATATGCATGCTTGCACTTTTCAGAGGTCCGATATTGTTCTATCTACAATCCTTGTTTTATTGATTGCATGTAATAATCTACTTTTTTGAGGTTGTGGATTTGGGGTTCTTGGGGTTTTCATGGGCTGTAAGCCATAATCATCACACTTATGACAAATCACGGCTTGAACTATCTGGCTCTGCATGTAATGAGTCTATCTCATATATCAATTTCACCTTTAAAGTTGCATTAGTGAAATAAATGAACTTTGCACGATATTCTAATTATTCGAGTTTCACCTGTATGATGGGTCACCTTTTTTTCCCCACTTTTTTTCCAGCCTCAGTACCTGACACTTGGCTTACATCTTGCTTTGCTATTAATAAGCTGTTCCTGGCTACCCCCAGAGGGTGCTATTTAGAGAGGGAAGATTTGTAGTTTATTGAGCTAAAAGAGTAGTCACTTTTTCAGAGCAAAGCAGAAAGTATATCTCCAGGAAAGGTAACCCATTTTGTTGGCAATTTTTTACAAGGGTACTGGAGTAAGTACCAATGTATAGTTGTTAGTGAAATTTCAGTTTCCCCTCCAATAGTTGGTGGTGCATTATGTGACTAGTGTGTATTTAGTCTTTTTACTTAGTTTACTGCCAAGCACTGTGTGCTCCTGATTCTAATTGCCACAGCTCACTTTATCTTTCTGTTCCTCCATTTGGCGTATCCCCTCTGATCCAGTTCCCTGGCCTGCCTTTAAATTCAGTCTTTGGGTTTAGATTTTTGCCTTAGCATAATAAGTGCATCTTGTACCCCCACTATCTTAGTAGCAACTTAGCTTGCCTTCTTGTTTCTGATTTGTTTGTTGGTTTCTCTGTCCTTATGCCTGCATATCAACTTTAATTGTACTCAGCCTTCCCTTACTTGCTTTTTCATGTATTACCCTTCTGCCTAATGGATCTGTGCATTGCTCCATTTCACTGTGCTTAGACACTTAAACACAGAGTTGAATTTATTCTGTTTCTAAACAGCACACTATGCTGATCTTTTTGGATTCCAACATTCTAGGATATTTGCAGCTAAGGGTGTGGGAAGCTCTGCCCTGAACTCCTGGACGCTATTCACTCTGGCTCAGTACGGCTGATTTCAGCCCATGTACAGCTGAAATCAGCCATACTGAGCGGGATTGAATAGCTGTACGTCGGCCGTACATCGGCTGAGCCGAAGTTGCAGAGGGACTTTGACTCAGCCGATCCCAAATCTGGATCAACTGAGCTGAAGCTCCAGGCAGCTCACTCGCTGCTGTTCGCCCCTATTCTCGCCCCTATTCTCATAGGGGCCAAATTGCAGTGAGTGAATACCTCCAAGGTACCGAGCAGAGTAGCCTGCTCCACAGACCAACATTTCCACCAAAGAATTATCTGCATGTTCAATGATAGAAGACTGATATGGGAACTAAGAGGGGAGCATTCACTAACCCATCTACACAGTAGTTTAGGGCTGTTGGCATGAACTCTAAATGCTTTACAAAAAAAGTATTAATATGTAGTAAAGCTCGATCCTTTGCCATGAGTTTTTGATTGAGTTACCTGTTGAGGTTGTAACACAGGGTCTCTCAGGGATCACAAGGTTTTGGAAAGTGTCTACCGCTCTTTATCTACAGGATCCTTAAATACTGGCACATTTTCTATGGGGACCGTCAGAGGTAAATGGGTTAGATGGGACACTACCATCCAACTGCAGGAACAGTCCACTTCTTAATGAAGGCCTCCTCAAATAAGTATTGGAATGCAAAACTGTTAGGAGGTGTAAACAGTTTGTCGGCAGATTTCTAGGCAGTATATAGAGCATCTGGAAACAGCACGTGCATGGGAAAAGTTTTAGCGTTCTTAGGACCTCTCAAAGGATCTACACTAGTAGTAGCACGTGTAGCAGCTACAGACTGTGCCTCCATCTTTAAGTTGGCATGCACCGCATAAATAAGAGTCATAATGGTGTTTCTCAGCCTGGGAGTTATGGCAGCTGCCTGCGACTCAGTATGCTTATGTCCTTTATGGTCATGGACAGAGTTAGCAGTTAATACTGCAACTTGGCAAATAAAAATCTTCATAGTCTGAGGAGAAGGTTAAACCCAACAAAGCCAAGGAGGACCCCAGGAGATGTAAGTAATCAAGCATGGACAATGTTGCAGGCTGTTGGTGGGAGCTGTTAGAGGATCATGAGCTGGAGAAACCCAATAGAGCGGAACTACTCCCCTTGTTTTTGTGATCCAACATGTTGCCTGCAAACAAAACATTTTACCTCTAACAACCTTGAGCGCTTATGAAATGACTGCTGGAAGAAGCAAACGTTTAAAGGGTTGTAGGTGACCTGGTCACTGTAGACAGCAGCAGGGACTAACAGAAGGGAAACCACATGTCTTGAATGCAGAGTGAGCATAATAAAAATGCTTTCTCTGTAAACAAAAGATGTCAATCCTCCTAGCATAAAACTAAGGGGTGTATTCACTAAGCTGCTCAGCATGTTCGGCCGACCCGAAGTGCAGAAGGAGTTCGACTCAGCCGATCAAACATCTGGATCGGCTAAGCCGAACCTCCAGCAGGCTACTCGCTGCTGTTTGGTCTTTTCTCATAGATGCCGAACAGCGTGAGTGTATCAATGAGAGAATAGCTGAATGCCGCCGAGCGACATTCGGCTCGGCTATTTTGCTTGTGAAACACAGTTAAAACCTCTGTGAAACACAGTTAAAAAAGTAGAAAAAATTAAATAGAAAACAATTGCACGGAGCTAGCAGTGACAGCTAGCTATGCCTAACTGTTTTCTATTGGCCGGGCGGTTCTGCTGCAGTCAGAATAAAAAATGTTTACAAAATTTAAAAAATCCTATAGGAATGCATAGCTAGATACCTATTGGCTATTTCACTTTTCAATAGCCAATAGCAAACTAGCTATTGCACCCGCACTCTGCTGCTGTCAATCACTAGAGGGAACCTGATGGAGAACTTCGGGTCCCCTCTGCTGATTGACAGCAGCAGTGGGCGGGTGCAATTAGTTTGGTATTGGCTATTGCAAATTGAAATAGCCAATATGAATTTAGCTATGGATTCCTATGGGGGTTTCTTTTTATTATTATTCTGACGGCAGCAGAATCGCCCGGCCAATAGAAAACAGTTGGGCGTAGCTAGATGTCAGTCCTAGCTACGCCCAATCGTTTTCTATTTTATTTTTTCTACTTTTTAAACTGTTTTCTATTCTGCTCGGTACCAATGGCTCCGATGTCAGATGTAAAAAAAAAAAGACAACAGAGCAGGGAAAGGTATACTCTGTTCAAGCGAGCAGAGTAAACCTTTCCCGGAGAAAGTGTTTCTCTCCCGGGCGGCCGGGAGCCGCTATCTAATAGCGGGAGACTCCCGGAGCATCCGGGAGAGTTGGGCTATCTGGAGATCAGCATCCCTGGTTACCTGGTAACCAGGGACGCTGATCTGTCTGTGCAAGTGGCCAGAGCCAGCCGTGAGATGACGGCTGGCTCCGCCCAGCAGTCAGTAGCAGGCTGTCGGCCGGCCCATGGGCGGCCGTTATGTCAGCTTCGGCTTTCACCTCGGCTCAGTCGAGCCGAAGCATATGCCTCAGCTCGACCGACTTCAGGAGCTGCATGGGCTATAGTGAATAGCCCGTACAGCAGCCCTTTGGTTCTACTGAACCGCAGGGGTCCTGGGGCCGAAGGATCAGCCGAAGCTGCGGCTAGATCCTTTAACAGCTTAGTGAATAGTCCTGCTGGGAGTAGGAAAGGCTATACCAGGCTGATCACACTTTTTTCCAAGGTTCAAATCCTCCTGTAGGTGGCAGTAAAACCCAAATGTCTCTTAATCTTGTGTATCTCAATGAACAAAAAATAAAGTCATTGGTGTTACGTGCCTTTGTTCCTAGAAAATAAAAATTCTAACTAGAAGCTTGCTGTAAATCAGTCTGCACTAGCTTGATTTCCCCATTTGCTGTGCTAAATCCTGATGAAATTAAACCTTCATAATGCTCAGCACATAGTATTTTAGGGGATTGTCAGACATTAAAACATTGGTCCATAATGCGTAAAGGGTATTAATTTCAGGCATCTGCGACAGTGGCAGAACTTGGTAAGCAATATCTAAACTTTCTACAGAATAATAGCACAATGTTGTTTCTTACCATGTGCCACCCAGCCATGTTTACATTGGTCACAGGTTCTCAGATTAATCTTCCCAGGCTGGAAACATTCGCATGTGCAATTTACAAGTGTACATCGGATGGCCTAGAAGAGGAAAGAGAAAGTCATTGATCGAGATGTCAATTTCACAATTTATGCTCTTACAAAATGTATGAGTGATTGTGGCTTATGGAAACACAGTGTAATCACCTATTAGTGTTATTTGCAGGGACACAAAAAATGGAAAAAGCACATTTCCGATGCAGTGCTTTAATACTTAAGAGAGTCCTAGCTTTAAGTGGCTGTCATAACATTAGAACTGATAAACAAAATAGAAGCTCTGAGGTTATCTAAGAACGCTGTAAGAAATTATATAGTTCATACTGTATACTAGCATAGTCCCAAATTAACTTTGCTTACACAGGCTGAATCCAAAAAGCAGGGGTTGATTTGCTCAAGAAGTTGAGGTTGTTTATCCTTTAATTTATTAACAAACACAAGTTACCAGAACACCTAAAATATTTGGCATAAAAGCCATTTTTCCCATTCTAGGTTAGATTTTTGTTGAACACAGCAAAAGTTGAACATTTACAATTAGGGATGTTCAGATACCATGTACCGTACTTGGTACAAGTACAGATACTTTTGCAGCTCCAAGACTAGACTAGAGAAAAATTCAAAAGTTAGGAGGCAGCTGCCATTTGTAAGGAGCACACGGAGCTCCTGGGATTTGTACATCTCTGTTTTAATGTATGATTTTTTAAAATAAATATAAATAAAGGGATGCACAATACCATTTTTCCAAGTACAGGTACTGATACGAGTACTGATACATTTTTGTATATTGTCATGTGACAGTTTTTCTAAAACAATACCGCCTAATGATTTCAGGACAGTGGTGGAGCGCCAGAGTTAGCTCCTAGCTGCAACCTCCGTGACCCTAGTAGTTCTCGTGAAAATGCCAAGTATCGGTACTGGTATCTGAACTGGTATCTGAATATCCCTATTTAAAATGTAAAATATATATAGATATTGATAGTAGAGCTTTGTAGAGAACTAAAAAGTATTGGTAATTTAGCATGTTGGTATTTGATACATGAACTATTAATTCCAAGTAAATTATACTGAATGCTATAAATGCTGAATGCATACAGGGCATGGAACAAAGTGCTCAATGTAACGTGCAATATTCCTAAAAAACATTTGGAATCCATCTAGCACCTGTATGATTTCTAGTACCAATGCAATGGGGTTTTACATGAGGCGCATGTTTTAGTCGTAAAATCACAGTTGATTATATACAAATTTAAAACCAATCTACAATCAGACATTTCATCCTAAAAACAACAGGATTAGACGTGTTTCCTTCCTAGCTTACAAAGTGCCTTGCATAGCTAAGGCTATCATAATTCTTCTTGGCTGCACCTGTATGATTTCAACAAAGTGAATTCTTATTGGTTGCTAAGGATAACAGTAGCACTTTGTCCCTTGCACTGGTAATGAATAAGCCCGATTGTGTTTAGTACCTTGGTTGAAAATGCCATTTTACTGCTTTGTTTTTGCTATGCAGAATCCCTGATTTAAGGACAGAGCCTAGGCAACTGTGAATCCCCAAAACACATGCAGGTCTATTCACAATAGGGTGAAGAGTTTGGACAAGACAGGTTAAGTGAACAATCTAGGGTAAAATAGCTGATTTGGAAAAATTATCCAATTCAGCTCACTTTCCAGTTCAGCTATTTTGTCCTAGATTGTTTACTTCTCCTGCCTTCTCCAAACTCTTCACCCTTTTGTGAATAGACCTGAAAGATATTAATTGCCCGTGCATACAATAAATATGGGGTCTATTCACGAAGCAGCTGAAGGATCTAGCCGTAGCTTTGGCCGATCCTTCAGCTAATCTCGGCCCCAGGACCCCTTTGGTTCAGTAGAACCGAAGGGCTGCTGTATGGGCTATTCACTATAGCCCATACAGCTCCTGAACTTGGCCGAGCGGCTCAGTCGAGCCGAACGCATATGCCCCCGGCTCCAGGGGCTGACTGGCAACTTTTAGCCAAGGGGGCAAGTACAACCTGGAGGCCCATGATGCAGCGACTTGGCCCCCCTCCCAATCTGCCTCTTCCCCCGCCCCCACTTGCCACTTTTGCCATCCATTTTATGGTAGTGTGAACATCGGGTGATGTGAAGACTCACTAGTCAGTCCATGAAAGGGGTGGCTGGTTGGGGGATGGTGTTTTCCTCCCACTGGGCTCTCTACATGGTTCTGGCCTTACTCCGCTCCATGTCTGGTACTTAGGCACTCTCACCCACTGTAGGCCGCTGGACTTTTGGACTGTGAGCTGTGGAAGGATAGTGGGAGGAGCTGGACAGTGTCAAAGTCATTGTTCCATAATTTTTCTCAACCTCATAAATTTTTTCGACCATGTCAATTACGGTGCTGCCGCGTCATCCGAATCAGATGTTTTCATGACCCCCTTTCTTCATGCACTTGTGCACCTTGAAGAGATGCGGCAGATACATTTCTGGGTTTGAGGAAAATTATAGCACATTGGTAGTGGTGGGATGATTTGTCAGTTCTGTGCACGACACGACCGCTGCGCCCCTTTTAGTTCTGCGACTGACTTCAAGCTGTAGAGGGATTATAAATCCCAGCAATACATTATACAGCAATGCAGAATAATACCATCAGCTATAGAGGACTATAAATCCCAGCAATACATTATACAGCAATGCAGAATAATAGTATATTAAAATGCTACATACTCTTTCCTGCTCTGCTCTGGGGTGTCAGCCTGATGTCTTGGTCAGATGGTCTCAGGAGGGGTGTGGAAGGTCTCAGAATGGGTGGGGAGGGTCTTAGCAGGGGGAGATGTGAGGGCGGCGGAAAAGCTGTAAGCAGGCACCATGTGGTTCCCCAGAAGGCTGCTGCGTGGTCCCCAACAAACGTGGGACCTAACACAGCCGAATCAATTATAAAAATTAAAGCTGTAGAGGGATTATAAATCCCAGCAATACATTATACAGCAATGCAGAATAATACCATCAGCTATAGAGGACTATAAATCCCAGCAATACATTATACAGCAATGCAGAATAATAGTATATTAAAATGCTACATACTCTTTCCTGCTCTGCTCTGGGGTGTCAGCCTGATGTCTTGGTCAGATGGTCTCAGGAGGGGTGTGGAAGGTCTCAGAATGGGTGGGGAGGGTCTTAGCAGGGGGAGATGTGAGGGCGGCGGAAAAGCTGTAAGCAGGCACCATGTGGTTCCCCAGAAGGCTGCTGCGTGGTCCCCAACAAACGTGGGACCTAACACAGCCGAATCAATTATAAAAATTAAAGCGCCGGTATCGGTTTTAAGTATCAGGGCATCTCTGGTTTCAAGACCTTTTTAGGCGTCACCAGAGAGGCCCAGTGGGCAATTGCCACCCTGCCCCCGGCCCAGTCCGCCCCTGCTCGGCTCGGCTGAGCCGCGCTGACAGCCTGCTTCTGACAGCCTGCTTCTGACAGCCTGCTTCTGACAGCCTGCTTCTGACAGCATGATCTTACGGCTGTCTCCGGCCACTTGCAGAGAGATCAGTGTTCCTGGTTACCAGCTAACCAGGGACACTGATCTCCAGACAGCAAACTCTCCCTGGCGCTCCGCCGCCAAGGAGAGAAACACTGATTTTCCTTTTTTTCTTTCTTTATTCTGACACGGAGCCGTGTCAGAATAGAAAAAAAAATAAAAAAAATTTTGCCCATTGGAATGCATTGCTAGATTCCTATTGGCTTTTTCAATTTGCAATAGCCAATAGTAAACTAGCATTGCACCCTCCCTCTGCTACAGTTCTGCACAGAGGTGTGGGTGCAATGCTAGTTTACTAGTGGCTATTGCAAATTGAAATATCCAATAGGAATCTAGCAATGCATTCCTAAGGGAAAAAATTTATTTTATTTTTTTCTATTCTGACACGGCTCCGTGTTAGAATAAAGAAAAAAAAGAAAAAGCAGTGTTTCTCTCCTGGGCGGGAGACTCCCGGAGCGCCCGGGAGAGTTTTTTTTCTTTTTATGGCAGCAGAACCGCCGGCCAATAGAAAACTGTTGGGCGGAGCTGGCTGTTGTTGCTAACTCCGCACAATTGTTTTCTATGGATTTTTTTGTACTTTTTAAACTATTTTTCTGTTCTGCTCGGTCCCTCTGAGGCATTCGGCTATTCACTCACTTCTGTTCTGCATCTGTAAGAATAGACCGAACAGCAGCGAGTAGCCTGCCGGAGGTCCGGATTAGCCGATCCAGATGTTGGATCGACTGAGTCGAACTCCTCCTGCACTTCGGGTGCCACCCGAAGCCACGCGAAGCCGCACGATGTACGGCTGATTGCAGCCGATATACGGCTGAAATCAGCCGTACCAGCCTGAAGTGAATAGCCGAACAGCGTTCGGCTCACTTCACTTCAGGTCGGTCTTTCACTCGGCTGCCTACGGCAGCTTAGTGTATAGACCCCTATGTGTCTGTTCTTCGCTGAATAGCGGAGAAAATGGCAGCGTTCCTGACTAAGCTTTCTAAGAGATTGGCAAAATTTAACCTCCCAAAAAGGCAGGACAAACTCCTCCTTCATGTTTATAAGAGCTATGGATTCTGGCAATCAAACGTATCAAACAGTGTTTGAACTGCTGTATTTCATAACCGTATAATGGTGACTGTGGAAGCAGGTGAACATCACAGTCTGCAAAAATGTTCTTTGGAACCTTTAACTATAAAAGCGGGACTATAAAATCACTCTTTTAGCTCAGCCTTTAGAAAGAAAAAGCAGCGGACATTATACAAATTTAACAAATATTTAACATAAGAGATAACTACTCTGGCTATGGTAATGCAGTCCAAAAGAAACTGAAAAGTTCACCCCTAAAACACATCAATGTATTTTTCAAAAATAAAATATTTTAAAGCCATTTCTACAAGAGAAATCGAAAAGCTCTCCCCTAAAACACATAATTGTCTTTTTCAAAAATAAAATATTTTAAAGCCACTCCTACAAGAGAACCTAAAAAGCTCTTCCCTAAAACACATAATTGTCTTTTTCAAAAATAAAATATTTTAACGCCACTCCTACAAGAGAAACT